GGACTGAATTTAAAGTGACAAAATTGATTACCCGAACCGATTCTTTAAATACTAATACACAATTTTTCTTGATTCTCCAAAATATACATAAACTAAATTAGATTACCCGTTTAATATGTAAAATAAATGTTTTTTTAAAAGTTTTACATTTTCGAATTAACGGATGTTAATCAGATAAATCGTAACAAAAAACTGTATTTAGTTTAAATTTTGAGAAATTCCTTAACAATACATCAACTAAATAATAATTGCGAGAAAAATACATTTTTTTTTTGTTTTTAGAAATACATGAACTATTAAAAAATTCCTTAAAATGACAAAATCAACACATATTTAAATCTTACAAATACTTTATATTTTTATTTTTAAATAAATAAATATTTTATTCAACCAATAGTTTCATATTATCAATGTTACTTATCAAAGGTTATAGTAAAAGAATATCTAAAAACTTATAATAATTAGTTAAATTTAAATCTACATAAAAAGTGTATTGTATTTAAAATAATACTAAAACAATATGATAAATAGAAAATAAAACAATTGATGTTAAAATAATAGAATATTAGTATACTAAAATACTATAACTTGTAGATAAGAAATATGAAATATATTATAATTTTTGTATGTAGCTAATAAAGTTTTAAACAAATATATATATTTTCAAATAGTAATCATTATATCTAAATGGTTAAAAATCATTTCATAGTTTCACATTCATACAATATTGATAAGAGAAAACGAACTAATTCATTTCAAGCCAATCACTATTTTTTATTTACAAAGAATTGGTTGTTTTCGAACCAAATTGCTCCACTCGGAAAATGAAACCTTACAAACAATTTGAAATCCATATCCGACCAAATCTCGCTTCAAATCTCCTATGAAACACTATGTTTTATACTTTTAACGATGCATATGCATGATCTCAAATATTCCTTGAAAAATATCTTCAATTTTCTCATTGAACAGTTTATATGCTTTCCAGATGAGCATTGTTAATGAAGTTCCTATACCGATGATTTTGCTACTTGAATGAGTATCGTAATCACGTTGAAAGATCAACATATTGATTTTGACTTTTATTCCATCTAAACTTATTCATTCTATACTGACATGGTATAAGCCGTTTTCAAAAATCTAATGACATTGTATGTACCAAAAGTTGACACCGATATCTCCAATGACTAAGATATCAATATGTTTCGATGATATCTCCACTTCGTTTGGGTTACAAGTACTTTAGACGTGCAACGACCGCTTCCTCGATTTTGGAGACATTTAGTGGATTTGAAGAGTTGGGATGAATGAGATTGAAAACACTAGTCAATGACGCTGAAAAGATAGAGAAACCGATGGTGAGATAGAAGAAAAGAGAAAACTGAATCGCCATTTTTTTCATCTATGTGAAACTTAATTACATACGTATTGCCTATATATATGTAATGAAAATGAGTTTGATAAGCACAAATTTTTTTTTAATAAAAAAACAACACTCCAAGAGAATATAAAAAGTATTTTATTTTAAAAGTTTTAGGTGCAAAATTACCTTTCCCTTTTCTTAGTTAAGCATTTGAGGTTCAAAAAAGAATGTTCTTTTTGCCTAAATTAAATATGATCATGTGTTGAACTTCCGAACAAGTTTTTCTAACGTCATCTAGAGGACCAGTGAGGACATGAGAACTCGACAGCTTTATCATCGACGTAACGAAATAATTAAAGATATAATTAACTAATGAAAATCAATTCTGTCAAAATAAAATTTCTTGATCATGATTAAAAGTAAAAGATTTTGTTTGTGTTTTGAATACATATGTTTCACATCTAAAGACAACTCTTAAGAGACAACTATGCGATGAAACACTATTTTTTGTTTATATACTTATTTAAAATTCAAATAATTTTTACTCAATTTCACGAATTGATAAAACAATTTTAAAAATAGTTCAAATAGTGTTAGTTATGAACGAGAAACTGGTTGCATCATCTAAAATATTTGAGCATTTGATGAAACTATGAAATCTCAAAGTAATAAACATAAATTTTTTTTTTTGTAATTATCTCATCATTCTTTTATGATTCTCCACTATTTTTTTCTGAATTAAAAGACAACATTTTTTTCAATGAACAAAAATGTGTGTTTTTCTTCATTAATGTTGCTCTAAGCTTATTACTTCTAATTTCTTTGAATAATCGACATGTCTAAGCAATGTGAATTTTACCTTTGATAACAATATTATTTTTTCTATCTCAATTTATAGTTGGTTTGTAAGTAATTCTTGAGAATCTATTATATAATTAGACACTTTTCTCTCCATCTAGAGTGTCCACATAGGCAAAAATGTTTTTTAAAACATTTAAATTTTAAAATAGTCATTTACTACACACTATTTCTATTTATTGTTTTTTATAACCAATAAA